AGAGGTGAAATTGATGAGAATGGTTACAAAGGTAGATATGATGGAGTGAGAGATAGTGAGGAGTCCACGGTGACTCCTAGGTTGGGAACCTGAGGGACTGGGAAGATGATGGTGCCCTTGACAGTAATACGGAAGGTGGAGGCAGGGAGAGGATTTGGGGGAAAGATAATGAGTTCTGTTTTGGCTGTGTTGAGTTTCAGATGTCTTTGGAACGTCCAGTTTAAGATGTCCAATGGGCAATTGGAGATGTGAGACTAGAGATCAGGAGAGGAGTTAGGACTGGATGAGTTGATCTGAGAGTTTGAACATAGAGATGATAATTAAATCTATGACAGCTGATGAAATTATCAAGTAAAATAATATAAAAGGAGAAGAGGGCCCAAAAAAGAGCCGTATGGGACATCTATGATTAGAGGTCTAGATGAGGATCTAGCAAAGGAGACAGAGAAGGAATGGTCAGATAGATTGGAGGAGAACCAGGACAGAGCGGTGTCCCAAAAACCTAGAGAGAGGAGACTATAAAGGAAAAGAAGGGGATCAGCAATGAGAGGTCAAGAAGAATGATAAGTGAGAAAAGACTGTTATTAGATTTGGCAATTAAGAGATCATTGGCATCATTCCCCATTGATAAATGGTCAAAGGATATGAACAGGCAGTTTTCAGAAGAAATCAAAGCTATTTATAGTCATATGAAAAAATGCTCTAAATCACTATTGATGAGAGAAATGCAAATTAAAACAACTGTGAGATGATACCTCACCTGTCAGATTGGCTAACATGACAGAAAAGGAAATGACAAGGGAATGTGGGAAAATTGGGACACTAATGCACTGTTGGTGGAGTTGTGAACTGATCCAATGGTTCTGGAGAACAATTTGAAACTGTGCCCAAAGGGCAGCCAAACTCTGAATACTTTTTGACCCAGCATTGCCACTGCTAGGTCTGTATCCCAAAGAGATTAAAAAAAAAAAAAAGGGAAAAGGACTATATATTCAAAAATATTTATAGCAGCTCTTTTTGTGGTGGCAAAGAATTGGAAATTGAGAGGTTGTCCATCAGTTGGGGAATGGCTGAACAAGTTGTGGTATATGATTATGACGGAGGAATATTGTACTGTAAGAAATGACAAGCATGATGGTTTAAGAAAAACCTGGGAAGACACATGAACTGATGCAAAGTGAAGTGAGCAGAACCAGGAGAACATTGTACACAGTAACAAAAAAAAATTCTGATTATAGTCAACTGTGAATGACTTAGCTATTTTCAGCAATACAGTGATTCAGGACAGTTCTGAAGGACATATGATGAAAAATGTTATCCGCTTCCAGAGAGAGAACCTGATGGAATCTGAGTACAGATTGAAGCATTATGTTTTCACTTTCTTTATTTTTCTTGCTTTTTTTTTGTGCCACATTGCTAATATGGAAATAAATTTTGCATCATTTCACATGTGTAATTGATATCACATTTCTTGCCTTCTCAAAAGGTGGGGGTAGAGCAGGCAGGAGGAAGAGAATTTAGAACTCAGAATTTTTTTTAAAAAAATGCTAAAAATAAATAATAAATCTGGTTTTTGAAAAAAGAGAAAGAGATCATTAGCAACTTTGCAGAGAGCAGTTTTAGTTGAATGGAGCCAGACTGAACAGAGTAAGAGGAGGAGACAGACACTAAGTGTAGATGGCCTTCCTAAGGAGTTTAGCCATGAAAGAAAAAAGAGATATAGGACAATATAGCTTGTGGGATTAGATGGATCAGGTGAGGGCTTTTTGAGGCTGTAATCCAGGGTTGGCCTTTGACAAGGCCTGATTGGTGAAAAGACACCACAGCAAGTGATTGGAGAATAGAAGGTGATGTCAAATTGAACTAGTTCACCAAGAGCTTGACATTGGGAAGGGAAGAGAGTACTATCCTTCTGTGGGGATATGCCCATTCCTATCACTTTTTCTATTGCTGATGTGATTGCTACTTCCCAGAAAGGCTGTGATCAATCCAAATTTTGCTTGTGGGGCGAAGCATCATGTACAGTGGAAAATTCACTGGATTTAGAGTAAATGGCCTTGCCTTTGAATACTAGTTCTACTGAAAAAAAAAATCAAACATATTTGCAGATAGATACTTCTTTTCTCCAGGTTAACTTCCCCAGTGCCTCCAGTCACTTCCTATGGTATGAGGTCAAGGCCTGTAGGCATCCTGGTCTCCCTCTTTTAGACACTATGGATCTGATCATAAACTGTGGCTCCCAGAACTGAGCCCATTAATCGATATGTCATCTGATCAGGTCATGGAACGGCGGATCATCACCTCCCCGGTGCTGGCCATCACGCCTCCCTCCCTTTATGCGTTTGGAGGTCAGATCAGATCCTTGCCTGCCACTGTGGACGGTGATTGAGTTTACAGCCCTCCAACCCTCCCAGATGGTCTTCAGATGAACTGCTCCAAGTTTCATTGGAGCATGACCAAAAGAAGAATTGGAAGAAGCCAAATAACTTTGGCAGGTGGAGACTCCATATATTCTTTTTGCTTACAGACAGTGCCAAATAGGAAATGTTCACAAGTTCCAGAAATTAATCTCCTGTGTTGTTTTGAGAAAAGGGTGCAGTTTTAGAGACCATTGGGTCATAGATTTAAAGCTGGAAGTGATATTAAATAATCGAGTACATGCTCTTCATTTTAAAAATGAGGAAACTGGGGCATCTAGGTGGTGCAGTGGATGAAGCACCAGCCCTGAAGTCAGGAGGACCTGAGTTCAAATCCGGTCTCAGACCAGAGACTGGACACTTACTAGCTGTGTGACCCTAGGCAAGTCACTTAACCCCAATTGCCTCACCAAAAAAAAAAAAAGGAGGAAACTGAAGCCCAAAGAGTCTAAGTGGTCCAGGGTCACACAGCTGAGTCTGAGGCAGGATTTGAACTCAGATCTTCCTGACTCCAAGCCCAGCTTTTTGTTGTTCATTTGGGTCAGATTCTTTGTGACTTCATGGACTTATCCATGGGGTTTTCTTAGCGAAGATAGTGAAGTGGTTCCCCATTTCCTTTTCCAGTGTGTCCCCATTTTACAGATGAAGAACTGAGGCAAATAGAGCTTAAGTGACTTGCCCAGGGTCACAAAACTATTAGGTATCTTCAGCTGGATTTGAACTTATATATTGCCTGGTGGTCTGTGCACTATGGTGCCACTTAGCTGCCCCCAAGCCCAACTCCTGAGCAGTATTCCTTGGTAGTTACTCAGATGGTCAGTAGACCAATATTAGGATGAATAGTGCTTTTTAAAGTAGGGGCAGTCATTGTGGGGTAGTGGGACAGGAACTACTGGGCTCAGGGGGCCAGAAACCTGGCTGATCAGATGCTACTTCTCAGTGCGAACTCTGGGCCTCAGTTTCCCCATCATTAAATGAGGTTGTTGGACTAGGCTATTGGTTCCTGCTCTATGGGCCCTGAACTCTGGGACGGGGGTGGGAAGGGTGGGGATGGCGATGGTATGCTAGAGTTATTACAGCATTATCGAGCACATTTGTGTCCCGGCCAGACCATCAAGTGACTCAGAATTAGTGTAGACTGAATACATCATCTGGTTTACACACACACAAAACCATTTTTCAAAGGAATAGAAATACTTAATGCTGAATAAAGTACAGTTTCACTAGTACAGGTCTTCTTGTATTTTCTGAGATGACAAGTACTATCATGGGGATAGAGGAGAGGGAGGGAGGTCTGAAACCTTTGTATAGGTTGGGAACCTCTGGTCTGTACAGTCTCTAAGGCTCCTCCCAGCTTTGACATTCCCTGTTCTAAGGCCCCTCCCAGCTCTGACATTCCTTGTTCTAAGGCCCCTCCCAGCTCTGACATTCCTGTTCTAAGGCCCCTCCCAGCCCTGACATTCCCTGTTCTAGGCCCCTCCCAGCCCTGACATTCCCTGTTCTAGGCCCCTCCTAGATCTGACATTCCCTGTTCTAAGGCTCCTCCCAGCTCTGACATTCCCTGTTCTAGGCCCCTCCTAGATTTGACATTCCCTGTTCTAAGGCCCCTCCCAGCCCTGACATTCCCTGTTCTACAGTCCCTCCCAGCCCTGACATTCCCTGTTCTACAGTCCCTCCCAGCCCTGACATTCCCTGTTCTACAGTCCCTCCCAGCCCTGACATTCCCTGTTTTAGGTCCTTCCCAGCCCTGACATTCCCTATTCTAGTCCCCTCCCAGCTCTGGTGTTCTCTGTTCCAAGGACCCATCTTGACCTCATTCTCCATGATTCTTTACAAATATTGATTAAGCGTGTACTGTGCAGAGCCTTCGGTTTAGCCATTACGGAGTTTAAATAAAACATGGCTGCTATATTCAAGGAAATCACTTGGTAGGGGGTTAAATATAAGACCATTAACAGATTAGACGCCCTTGAAAGGTGCACAGGATGCCATGTTGTTAGTATGGAGCGTAGAAGGACCGAAGGGTCCTTGTGGAATGTTGGCATGTAAGCAAAAGGCTGGGGCAGGGGGAGGGGTGCCAGATTGGGGAAGGCCTTGAACGCCAGGCAGAAGATTCTTTTTTTTTTTTCCCGGTTAGGCAGCGAGGTTAAGTGACTTGCCCAGGGTCACACAGCTAGTGAGTGTTATGTGTCTGAGGCTGGATTTGAACTCAGGTCCTCCTGAATCCAGGGCCAGTACTCTATCCACTGTGCCACCTAGCTGCCCCCAGGCAGAAGATTCTTATAGGAGACCTTAGAGGTCAGAGTTCAGCCCCTTCATTTTCCAGGTGAGCACACCAAGACCCAGAGAGGTTTCTGAGACAGGATTTGAACCCTGATCTTCCTGACTGCCGAGTCCCACGCTCCCATCTCTGCAGCACCATGCTGCCCCTCACCATTCTCTGTAGCCACCTCCTGAGATTTTCCTCCTTATTGCTGAGTGATATTTGGGGGGTCAGGGTGGCACCTGCCACCTGTGATTACCATCCAGCCACGACTCTTTCTTTCCCTCTCTCAGTCATTCTCTTTCTTTCTCTCTTTTCAGGAGGTCGGCAGTGATGAAGACCGAAAATTAAATCTCAGGTAAGTGTCAAAATGGCATCATTCCCCTACCCCGTGCTCCTGCCTTAAGTGTGTCCATAATCCCAGGCTTCCAAGGACAAGCTTGAGCCAGGCCTGCCACAGACATCCACATCCAGTTACAGGGTCCCTTCTTCATGTAAGAACCTCCAAAATTGTAGCCATCTGTTTTCCTGGCTCCTGGCATTTTCCTGAGTTTGGGAGAACCCAGCTTTCACTGCCCTTTTTATCAAAATAAGCAAACCAAAAAAAATTGAGCTGTAACCTCTAATTATCATATGTGCTAACACAGGGACATAAGTGCTTATCCTTTGGTCAGCAAGCCCCGTCCTGTGGTTTGGGTCTGTTTTCTAAAAGTCTCAAGCTTTGCTATGATCAGGGCCTGGGAACCAAAGGGAGAGTGGAGGGTCTGTGTGGTGCTCAGGAAGGAGGGCTGGAAAGAAGCCCCTTATCTCCTCTCTGGGACTCAGTTTCTTCATCTGTAAAATGGAGTCAGACTAGATGACCTCCCAGGCCTCTTCTGCCTCCAAATCAATGATGCTCTACTCCTACCTATGTTCAAGTGACCTTGGACAAATCACTTAACCTCTGGGCCTCAGTTTCCCCCTCTATAAAATGTGAGAGTTGGACTACAGTCAGTCAGATCAGTCGACAACAAGTAAATATGCCTGTGTGCCAGGTGCTATAAAACAAAAGGTTTGCATTAATTGACCCCTAAAACCCAGGGCGACGAGGTGGTGGTACATAGAAAGCCAGGCCTGGAGTTTGAACCTGAGATCAAATCCAGCCTCTTACTATATGTGTGACCCTGGGCAAGTCATTTCACCCTGTTTGCCTCAGTTTCCTCATCTGTAAAATGAGCTGGAGAAGGAAATGGCAAACCCCTTTATTATCTTTGTCAAGAAAACCCCAAATGGGGTCAGAAAATGTTGTGTGAGACTGATAATGACTGAACAGCAACAAAATCCCATCTGGGATGGGGATTATTGGGGAGAAAAGGAGGGAAGAAGCATTCATGTAGTATCTGTTGTGTGCAGGCACTGTGCTAAGCACTTTTTACAGACATCTCATTTGTACCTCACAGTAGCCCTTCAAGGGAGGGACTGTTATCCCCATTTTACAATTGAGGAAATTGAGGCAAACAGCAGTTGGGTGCCTTGAAGCCACATTTGAACTCGGGTCTTCTTGACTCTAAGCCTAACAGTCTACCTACTACATCCACTAAGTGCCTGAGACTGAAGTGTCACTGGTGGCCTCTTGAAGGAAAAGCTGGTCTCATTCTGTGAGAATTGCATATTTCAAGCCAGAAGCGACCTTATGTGTCCTTTATGGAGTCATTTACAGAATAATGGAGGTGGAGTTTGAACCGAGGCTGTCTGTGTTTAGAGCTCCGAGGTTGGTAGTGCATTGAAGAGACCAGTGTGACCCTGTGGAATGAAGCTTGGGGCAGCCTGGGAAGAGTGTGTGTGTGTGTGTGTGTGTGTGTGTGTGTGTGTGTGTGTGTGTGTGTGTGTGTGTGCGCGCGTGCGCAGAGGTGGGAAAAAATTATCTTTGTTGTCAACTTTGCACAGAAAATATCTTTGGCTCTCCTGGATAGGGAGAGTCTAGGACATCAATAAAGTCTGTTTTCCTTTGCTCGGGCTCCATGTTTTCAGAGTGAAAGAACTCTAGACCCAGGATTAGCCCCACCCTTGAGCTCCTCTGGAAGTTCAGAGATGGTGTAGAAACTCTGGGACACTGAGATTTCCGAGGGAGGGCAGTAAGGGACCACAGTAGAGGTGGCCAGAAAAACTTCCTTGATGACTTAGTGTATGGGAATGAGGGTGGAGGGTGGAGCATAGAAAAGCAGAAATCTGTTTGGGAATCTCCTGATCTTTATAGAGAAAGAGGAATTGGGAGTGGGGCCTTGGTAGAAAAATCTGTGGCTGGGAAAGTTAAGAAAGGAGAGTCTTCAGGCCAAGTTGACCATCTCGCCCTCTAAGTGAGTCAGTCAGGTTTCAGTTTCTTCATCTGTAAAGTGAGGGGATGGACTCTGTGACCTCTAAAGCCCCTCCCAGCCCTGACATCCACTGTTCTAAGGCCCTTCCCAGCCCTGACAACCCTGTTCTAAGGCCCCTCCCAGCCCTGACATTCCTTGTTCTGCGGCCCCCTTGCTATCCTCCCAAGCTCTGACATTCTTTGTCTTAACACCCATGGAGAGTCTAGCTCTGGTATCTTCTCTTAATTGCCCTGGCAGATTATCAGAGTTTGGGGTCCCTTGGGTAGTCTTGACCTGTCCCTCTCTGTCCTGTCCAAGAGACATCTTTGACCGCCGCATCAGAAATACCACAGAATCACAGAGCTGGGGGGCTGGACAGGACCTCGGCAGCCATCTTGACCAACCCATACGCTAAGGGAATCCTCACTATTTCCGAGCATTATTTTTGCTTGTAGAAAAACCTCACTTCACTAACAAGTTTGATTTAAAACAAAAGAAAAAAAAGGAAGAAATGACCATCAGTACTGAGTTCTTAGCTGAGCCCTGTGATACAATGATGGTGGCCTTGTTCTCTGAACTTACAGTTTAGAACTAGAAATCCTCATTTTTTCAGAAGAGAAAACTGAGACTCAAAAAGGAGAAACATTCCCTCCCGCAATTCCCCAAAACAGAGGATATCTAGACCATCCCCTCCCGTCCCTTTCCGCCCTGCTTCCCAGACACCTGGGGTGAGGCTCCTTCCTCCCAGTGACTTTGAATACCACTTAAACTCTCTGGGTCTCGGGTTCTTCATGTTAAAAAACCACTATGTTGTATCACACTGGAAAAGTCACTTAACCCCAACTGCTAAAAATTAAAAAAAAAATTTAATTAAAAAAGAAAACACTATGAAAGAAACATGGGAGAGGTGCTCTATTTCCAGTCCAGATCTTGGGTTCTAGAATCTACACCTTGTATGACACTGGACAGGTCATTTCGTGACTGACTGACTGAATGAGCCCTTATGAAGCCTTTATCACGTGCCAGGTGCCATCCCCAAGCCTTTGGGGATGAAGAATCAAAGCAAAGACGATGCCTGCCCCCCAGGAGCATCCTGTCTGTTGGGGGAGCCCGCGCCTCTTGGTACCAGGGATGGATAGTTCAGTTTAGAAAGTCACCAGGCTGGGGAGTGGACCCTTAGGGAAGCAGATTGACCGCCCTTTGGGGCAGGGGCTGTCCTTTGCCTTTCTTGGTATCCCCAGTTGGGCAGAGTGCATGGCACATGGCACCGACTCTCCATGACCCCATTTGGGGTTTTCTTGGCAAAGGTACTGGAATGGTTTGCTATTTCCTTCTCTAGCTCATTTTACAGATGAGGAAATTGAGGCAAACAGGGTGAAGTGACCTGCCCAGGGTCACACAACTAGTAAATGTCTGAGGCTGGATTTGAACTCAGGTCTTCCCGACTCCAGGCCCCAGCTCTGTGCACTTCTGACTCAGCTCAAATCTCACCTTCTTCAGGAAGTCTTCATTCCCTCTCCTCCCCATAGTGTCTTCCCCCTGAGATCACCTTCCATTTGCACTCTGTGTGTGTGTGTGTGTGTATGTGTGTATAATGTACGTAGTTGTTCACATGTTTTCTCACCCATTAGAATGTCAGCTCCTTGAGGGCAGGAGCCATGTTTTTGCCTTTCTTTTTACCCCCAGCTCTTAGCACAGAGCTTGGCATATAGAAAGCACTTAACCAGTGCGTGTGGATTGGCTACCATCCACTCTGCCCATCTCATTTCTTGTCACTTCCTTGAACACAGTCCCCATTGGGCCAGCTGGCCTGCTGGGATCGGCGATTTCAAGCTGGGCCATCTGGTGCCTCATTTTACTGAGCAGGCCCAGAGAGGGAAAGAACTTGGTGAAGGTCACACAGCCAGGATGTGTCCTGTGCAAGCCGTTACCCACTTGTGAACCTTTGCCCAGGTGGAGGTGAGAACAGGGAGCCTGCTGGGCATGGGAGACCACCTGGGCAAAGGTGGCTGAAGCTCCCACTTCTTACAGGAAGCCTGTCCTCATTCTCCACCTTTGTTAACACATTCTCCCTCTTAGAATAAGTTGGTGTTATTTTTTTATACATTCAGTATTTGTTAACCTCTGTTCCTCTTGTGGTCCCCCGGTAGGATGTGAGATTCTTGAAGGCGGCAGAGACTTTATCAGCTTTGGGCTTCATCTTCCTGGCCCGTATCACAGCGTTTGGCATATAGTAGGTGCTTAATAAATGCTGAATGGGGGTGGGGTGGGGTGGGGAATAGTTCTGGAGATAGCTCTTCTTCACCAGGTAAGCCCCTGCCTCCTCAGTAACAAGTGAAGGGATATTTAATGCTGCCCCCAGTCTGGTAGAATGCAAATTCTGGTGGAGTAATTTAGAGTTTAGGCAATTTCTTTAATCACTTTGCTGTTTGAGGAACAGCTCAGCCTAGATGTCGCCTGAGTCCTGGCAGAGAAACAGTATTCTCTCTCTTCTTCCTCCTTCCTCCTTGACCTCTTCCCTACCTTCTCCCTTCCTTCCTTCCCTGTGTTGCTATCTGCTCCTGAATATGCCTTTTCAGAGGTTGGCATCCTTACCGCCCACAGGTGTTGAGAAGCAGATGGTCCTGCTGGTAGCCAGGCTCCGGCTTCCTTCCCATCAGGGCACTAGTCAGGGTTTGGTGGGAAACGTTGTTCTGATGTAGTCAGGGCGCCAGGAAGTCGAGTCAGGTACGGAGCCATAGGAGAGTGGTACCAGGATTGGGCTTGGCTCTTCCCTCAGCACTTCTAGGTCATGTGAATTTAGAAAATAAACTATTCATGGGACACATTTCCTCCTTTTCTTTTTGAAACCTGGGCCAGGAATCTTTTGGCCCTAAAACCTCTTTAGAGGAGTTAGGATTGAAGACTGGGGCCGTCCACCTACTTTACAGATAAAGACACCAAGGTCCAGAGAGGATAAGTGACTTAAGATCATGGATCACAGGGGCAGCTAGGTGGCGGAGTAGATAGAGCACCGACCCTGAAG